CAAGCCATGTATTCTATTCACGAAACAATTGTTTCACCGCGAGAAGCGCTATTTCAAATTAAAATTCAAATAAATTTTATTGCTCAAATATCTCACAGATACATTGGCAAAATAATTACAACAATAAAATATACACGTACTGCGATAATGCATGAATAACTAGATGAATAGCAATATTTAATAATAGTGATAACACATTGAAAGTTATTTCGTGATTTTTCACCATGCTAGAAGCCGACGTCACAGTGACCTGTAATGGACGCCGTGAATGATGCAAATATTTGGCTTGTGTCTGTAATGCCACTGTCATGGTTGCCTAGCCGATGTCACGTAATGTCGAAAATTTATGCGCAAATTAATTGAAGTTGAGCAGTTGGTGAATCACATGTGTGTCTAAATTATTATGTATATTTACAGTAGCAGTGAGGCACGTACGGGTCGAATACTCAATGTCAATTTCTTTATTGATATATAGAGATGTAGGGACTGCAGTGTATGTGATAGATAATCTATAGCTTAGATTAGATAGGTTCATCTAGTCGATCCATATCTTCTCTTCAATCGCTGGCGTGCGTTAAGATAGATTGAACGACTCTCGTTATTTGTGCACGCTTAGTAATATTACTCGTATTTTTTACGGTGTTGAAGTATGTCATATAAGTTACGTTTTGTAATGCGCATGTTAGCGTATTTTGGCGTGGATGTAGGCCTACACTCAAAAAGCAAAATTTGTATTAAACAAATTTGATTTTAGTCGTGTAAGCTCAGGGGTAATTCATTAGGCAGCAGTAGAGGATAAGCCCTTGTGCATACCCCGGCGTGTAGAATACTAACTAACCAACTTGCTCATCCGACCAATTTGGGTACCCTGTGTGTTTAAGTAGGATCCGTCACGCATCCAGGGTACCCGGATGCTCTTCAGATGTCCTTGCTTAGGCATATACGGCGTTAGCAGTAGCATGGAGCGATACCATGTAGGCCAAAATATCATACCAATGTCGAATCAAGAGTGACTTGCACGGTCATGAGCAATGATGATGTTTCATGCCAACATATGACATGTTCACATTCTCGTGGGAATGTGCGAAACGTACATTCACGCGGCAACTTTTGCACAATTTGTGTGTGTGTGTGTGTGTGTGTGTGTGTGTGTGTGTGTGTGCGTGTATTCCTATTTCGCAGCTAGCGTATAATATATGGGCACGTTTTTCGCTTCCTGCGTGATGAATGCGTACTGTTCTTAGCACGTATTTCGCTGATGCTCAGCAAATACATGTAGGAAAATATGTCATATTTTTAACAATGCACAGTTTGTTCTGTTCATCTATCTACCTGATTCCTGTCGCGATACAAGATGCTGCATGATACTATGTCAAAGTTTTCTATAGGAAAAATATTGGTTAGCTACACAGTATGTTCACTATAGGACAAATATTGGTTAGCTTCGCAGTAAGTTCACTATAGGAAAGATATTGGTGAACTACACAGTATAATTCACTATAGAAAAAATAAATGGTTAACTACATAGGATGCTAACTATAGTACAGATATTGTGGATTTTGCTAAACGCGATTGCTGTTATATATGCGGGGGTTTCGAGCTTCGCATTTATAGAAAACATGTCAAATGAGGGAGAAATGGAAGCTTTTCAATTGTAGATAAAGAATGATCGAAATAAGACACTTTAATACCCAGCGTCGTGCAATTACGTTTTGCAGAATTCCCACGCAGTTTAGATGCAGGCAATATACATGTATACGTTTTCGAATGCGTATAGACAGAGATTTCAACGTTTCCATGCGCAAGTGTACTGCTTGTATAATATATTACATCATGCCTTAACGTGGCCATGTTAGAGGTTCATCGTAACATAATACAGTGACGTGGCCATGTTAAAGCTTCATCGTGACGTCACACCGTAAGCTGTGTATGTAACAGCTTTATCATGCAGTATCATGGCCACGTTACAGCTTCATCATGCCGTAACGTGGCCATGCTACAGCTTCATCGTGCCGTAACGTGGCTATGCTACAGCTTCATGATGACGTCATGTCGTAACGTGACTATGCTACAGCTTCATGATGACGTCAGGTCGTAACGTGGCTATGCTACAGCTTTATGATGACGTCATGTCGTAACGTGGCTATACTACAGTTTCATGATGACGTCATGTCGTAACGTGACCGCGTCACTGCTTGGTTAGAACGTGCTGTGACATTCCTGTTTTGGCCGCCTGGTCTGAGTAGCAGTCTCGCAGGTTCCACGCAGCGTCTTAGCTTGCTTTGCCGGGTACTTACTTTGATTGAATATCGAGTTGCGATGTCGCATAACGACCACTTTGGCGCCAAGCCTACGGAATTGATCCGTCGCTCCCTTAGCACCACCAGCGTATTCAATTTACCCGCTTTTATGACATCTGAATGCTCGTTACTTACTCTAAACAGCGACGGTTCGCGACCGATGACGAACGAGAAATTCTCCAGAAACACAAGATCGTGTCTCGCCAAGGTCGAATTACGCATGCAACGGCGGGACAGCGTTTGCTGGCAGATGCTGTGGCTTTAGCATCGTTGGAGAGCCTCGTGATCGCATGAAATATCGTCTAGTGAAGTCCAGTCCAAGCGTACAGCACGATACACACCTCCTTATGACAAGGCTTCTCGTTTACATTGCGCATTGAAAATAAAGGTCAAATTCCCATGCCCACGCGCAATGTAGAGGGGGATGTACACCGGCAACGTAGTACTGTAACACTACGCTCGAGTGAAACAGAGCGTTTCTTATGTTCTAGTAAAAAAAACTATTTTCCTGTCTGGGGTCGGCGTATCACATAACAGTCATCAGCGCAATATATATCTTTGGTTTATCTTATATTAGTTTGTCGTAACAACTGAAACGACAACTCACCTAGCTGCTAGCCTACCTGCTCGGTACGGTTTTCGCACATTTGACACGCTAGGAAACGATAATTTGTCATCTCCGGCAACAGCGCGAGTTGTTGTTTTTTTTGCAAAAATTCAATTAGGACGAATTTAATTAAGGATGGAAGCTAATCCTGTTTGTTAGCGTGAAGATTAAATACATTTAATTACGGTCGGTCGCAGATCTCGGTCTCTGTGTGCGGATAGTGATGTGACAGTTACGCTCATGTTTCAAGTTGTCCGTTAGTAATAGGACTGGCTCCAGAATCTTTCGGCGTTGTAATGTGCCCGTGACTGTAAATCACTCGCTCAAAGGAAAGGCTTATATAAACATTGGTTGCTATTTTTGCGGAAAACCCTCATGTTTATCGCTTAAATTATAGTCGAAATACTCGTACCTTGCAGCCAGGCTCGAAGATTGATGGTGCCCGTGATTACAAAATAACTAGACGAAGAGAACACATTTTTCATACGGGTGATCTCATGGCATAATACGAATGATGAAAATACCTCTAACCACGCCCTCTGTTGTCGCGCACCGTATTCATACACTACACAGGTCCCGTCCATGGTTTCTTTCATGTCATATGACCGCGCGCATGCCTCCAGTTGCGAATACGCATGCGCACAGCGTCCCTTAATTGGCAGAAATCAGTGGGGAGAGAGAAGTCAAAGGGTTACGGCGCACTGCGGCTTGCTGCGCTCGCTGCGAGCGTACATTCCCATCGGCGCGTGTCAGTGCCCCCGGTACACGCGCCAGTACGTAATCGTGTCTGAAAAGCTTGGAGTGCCTCTGAAATTCGATTACCTAATAACGCGACATCGCCACTGTCGCAGACGCGTGTCGGCCTGGTGCGTGTATGTGACATATATGTATGGATGTGTGTAGTAGGACTGAAGCCGAGTGGAGGAGTAGTGCGTGTTACTGAGGTGAACGTAAACCGCTACGTAGACCGGGGCACAGCGACAGGACAGCCTTGTAAGCAGCATGTGTGTGTGTGCGTGCGTGGCGTGCGCTTGCGCTGTTTGTGTGCGTGTGTGTGCGTGTGTGGCGCGGCGGCGCGGTGTGTGTCTTTGTCGTGTTGTACATGTGTTTTGTTTATATGTATGTGTGTGTGTGCGCGCATGTGGCGTGGCGTCGTGGTGATTCGCGTGTGCTGTGTCGGTGTGCGTGTGCGTAGAGTGTGTGTGTGTGTGTGTTGTGTGCGTGTGTGTGTGTGTGGTGGTGTGTGGTGTGTGTGTGTGGTGTGTGTGTGTGTGTGCGTATGTGTGTGGTGCGTGTGCGTGTGTCTTTGCGCGCATGTGCGTGCGTGCGTGTGCGTGTGTGTGTGTGTGTGTGTGCGTTGCGGTGCGGTGTGTGTGTGTGTGTGTGGTGCGCGCGGTGTGTGTGTGCGATGCGTGTGTGTGTCTTGCCTCGGCGCATACGTGTGTGTGTGTTGTGTGTGTGTGTGTGTGTGTGTGTGCGCGCGCGCGCATGTGCGTGTGTGTGTGTGTGCGCGCGCGCATGTGCGTGGGCGTGTGTGTGTGTGTGCATGTGCGCGTGCGCATGCGTGTGTGTAAGGAACCAACAGCTACATATCGTATCAGCGCGCGTCGTCAGATCTCTGACCAGGTTTCATGACGATACACTCATTATAGAGCTTATAGACATGATTACAGTCTTCCAGCAGGAATCAAGGGCGACATGTCGTTCGTCTTCCATCGTAATTGGCTAGGAATGATGCCATGATTTAATAAGGCTTTGCTGGTAATGAGTAGAGACATGCGGAGGGAAGCTATGATCTCGGTGTCTGCTAGGTGCAGATAGCAGCAGTAACAGTCGCGGTGCTCTGACAGTGTGGGACTAGCGTCTGTGTGACAATAACTACAGTGCAGCTGATCTAGAAACACGTACGACCGAGAAAATGAAATCAGCCGACGCTAACGTTATTTTGTAAAATGTGTCGAGGCTATAGGGACAGGATCAGATGCAGTAGCCGTTAGTGTGGTGGTGGTGGTGGTCGGTGAGGGTAAGCCGTGATTGTGGTAATAATTCACTCACAGTCAACAGTGTACACCTTTTATTTCATTTCGTTACAGTTCAGAAATATCAATCGGAGATATTTGAAAGCTGGAACCAAGCTAATGTTTCTAGTGAGTTGGTATGTTGAGCTTTATAGTCTGTCCACAACGAATTCAATCTGCATTAATTTATCATGCGCGAACGTTAATCATTGGTCGTACGAGAAATCTAGAACGCCTTTCAGTCCCCATATGAATATGAATCCTTTATACATATATTATATATATATATAGTATATATATATTATATATATAATATATTATATATATACAGATAAATAGATGTACTATGCGCGTAGACTGCGCTTTACGTTTTTCATCTCCAGCTGTTCACCCGACCTAGCTTTTCATCTCTCCTCCCGCCTCTTCCTATCCCCCATCGCTCACTGCCTTCTCTCGATCACTCGCCTGCGTCCTCCTTCCCTTAACAGAATGCGTATGAGATAGTCAGTTCTATGTTTGTCGCGCCAACATTGTCTTAATTAAAAGACTGCTTCGCGTGTTTGCTTTCGCCGCTAAGCACATACACGCGGCGTTGTGTTAATAATAGGTGCAGAGTCAAGTTGTTAGCTTCTCAGTGCGTTACCATCCCCCCACGCGCATGCGCACACGAATGCGGGGTGACATCGATGGCGTAAACACGTTTCCACTCCGTGAATTCGCGCCTGTAGATTCAGCTGCTGCTGTCGACGTTAACGTTTACTCTACCGCCGCCCCGCTTGTCTAACACCTGGACCTTCGTTGCTCGTTTCAGTGACCCGTGTGCTTACTCCGAAAAAGGAAGACATACACACCCACACACAGATAGAGAGAGACGCCAACTCGCTACTGAAGCCATTAGAAGAACGACCACAGCCCGACTATAGACACCGCGTATAGGATAACCGATGCAAATTATTGGCGTGGTGTGTCTACTTGGTTGGGAAATCCTACATCGTTGCTGAAGTCGCCAGCATAACCAACGGTTGCCATTTTGAGGCTCTGAATGTCTGCAGAAGCATCGCGGGGTGTGACGAAGAACCATACCTGTAGAGTGCTCGGGTTACATAGAGACAGGCTTCATAATAACTAGCGTGCCCAGCGCAGTGAAGAGAATAGAGAGAGAGAGAGAGAGAGAGAGAGAGAGACGAGAGAGAAGAGAGAAGAGAGAGAGAGAGAGAGAGAGAGAGAGAGAGAGAGAGAGAGAGAGAGAGAGAGAGATAACATCATATCGTGTGAAATGACCGCGAGTCAATCAACGGGCACTGAGTGTTGTCCGCCGTGCGCATGCGCAGACGCCGTATCGGCAAGATAATGAATAGTGACATAAGTAGCATTAGCGTGGTCTGCAATTAGCATAGTACTCACACAGGTTGCCCGGTCGTACCGCCCTGTGTCACTGTCTCTCTCGCTGACGTGCGCACGACAGCAATCGTGTCAAGCCTGAGGAAAACATACTGAAACTTACATTACGTTGCTGGGCTAAGGTTATAAAGAACAACTGCGTTGAGTACCAAGTCGAAAGGCTATCATATCATCTAAAAGCCGCCGTCAACACGCGGGTTTGACATACGAACCGACGATATTCGATTCCCGACACATATCTCCTACAGAGGGAGCCACCTGCTACACATCACGTTTCGCATATATTTCTGCCGCCAACCATGGCCGCCAACTACAGCAGCGTGACGTCATACAGCAACGCGTCGCTGAACGACACGGACGACGACGACGCCAGGCTCCACCTGGCGTCGATAATAGCCGAGCGCATATCGATGACGATGTACACGATCATCTGCATCGTCGGCATGGTCGGCAACACGCTCGTCATCTACGTCGTTCTGCGCTTCGCCAAGATGAAGACCGTCACCAACATGTACATCATGAATCTGGCGATCGCCGACGAGATGTATCTCATCGGACTGCCGTTCCTCGTCACGACGATGGTGCTCAAACACTGGCCGTTCGGCTTCGCTATGTGCAAGCTGTACATGATTACGGCGAGCGTGAATCAGTTCACGAGCAGCCTGTTCCTGGCCGTCATGAGCAGCGATCGCTACCTCGCCGTCTGCCATCCCGTCAAATCCGTCAAGTACCGCACGCCGCTGCACGCGAAGATCGTGTGCGCGTGCGTGTGGACGATATCCGTGCTCGTCATGATCCCGGTGATTATGTACGCGCGCACGACCGGCGGCGGACCCACCTGCACCGTGCTCTGGCCAGGCGGGCAGCTGATCAAGGCCGAGAAGGCGTTCGTCGTCTACTCACTGCTGTTGGGTTTCGGCATCCCCGTCGCACTGACTATGACCTTCTACGTGATGGTTCTGCAGCGGCTGAAGACGGTCGGGCCGCGCAAGAAGTCCAAGGAGAAGAAGCGCAGTCACCGCCGCGTCACCAAGATGGTGCTCGTCGTCATCACCGTCTACATCTTCTGCTGGCTGCCCTACTGGTCGCTGCAGTTGCTGCTGGCCCTCGCCAGCGAGATGGAAGTCAACTCGCTCTACATTGCCTTATCTACCTTCGTGTACGCGCTCGCCTACGCCAATTCGGCCGTCAATCCGATTTTGTACGCGTTTCTCAGTGAAAACTTTAAGAAGAGCTTCATCAAGGCGTTCAGGTGCGCCGCCGGAAATGACTCCGGATTCGTCGTCGAGACGAGCACGTTTCCGGGTCGCGGCTCCAAGTCTCGCGCGGATTCGCGGCGCAGGAAGCACGGCGCCGATTCCGACGACGATGACGAGACGGAGTCGACGCATGTGACGAGCATGTGCCACTCGAGGGTACACACGGATCCGAAGAGCATGCTGCTCACGGATATCACCAACGGACAGAACCACACCACCAACAACTTAGAGCCCGACTGCAACGCCACCGCCCTCTAGAGGGCTCCCACGAAAGTATTCATCACGTGGGCAAAAACGTCACACGTGCTACTCAGACACAAATCTGTCCAGCCGTAAGGGAAATAACGGCCTTACTTTGTTTTGTATGAGCAGTCTGGCTATGATTCAACGTGTGGCTAAAAATTGCCGAGTAGAAGGTGCGCGCTAAAGCATGGTGTATAAGCGTAAGCCTCGTATATACATTACCAAGAATGCTAGCCGTTAAACAACAACACGGGACAGCGCTGGTTACGTCAAAAGCAAGCGTACGGTGATCACAGAACCATTTGTATGCGGTTAGTAGTAGCTCGTCATATGTTCGCGGCTCCTAGCGGAAATCGCAATGATGCGTGGAGATTTGAAATGATAACGGTTAGATTTGCTCGGATGTACGTATAAACGATGGTGTGACACGGTGTTCTCGTGAACCATACGGCAACGGGAACTGCATCGTGTAACGGCATCTAGTTAAATTGTAGAAATAGTATAATGACGTGCTAGGTTCACGCTAAGTGTTCTCTCAATATACGACTAAATGTTATAAACGTGCAAGTAACGGTGCCCGATTACGTCATTGGTAAATGATGTACATGTCTTCGTTGTATCACGTACACAGCCGTAGTGACGTATACATATTAATACTTATTATGAATTGTGACGTAACCGTTCCTGGTTTAGGTGACTGTGGACAATGCGCACGCTACCACCTGCGTGCGCGCTACAGCCCACTAGGTATTTGGTCTGAATATCTGTATTATACCAAATTTTGGTTAAATCAGCTATAGAACTGTATGTACTGAACATTATTATACTGTCAGCAAACACCATTGCTGTCAACTCGGAGCCGAAATGCTTTTGATGTAACATTAACATGACTGTCGGTGTTGGGAATTGTTAGAGTGAGGCATGAAGACGTCTGCTCCCATACATATTGCTCGTGAGTCTGTGTAAGTGAAGCTGTTACTGATGTTCCACATGCCATAGTCGATCCGCCCGCTGGGTCATCGAAATATGGTTCCCCGTAGAATTACACAGAGAGAGAGAGAGAGTTGATGAACTATATAGTTATATGCTTTAATATAGAGCAACTTTGATATTGTTTGTAAATATAATAGTCTGCAGAATGTTGAAGTGATGCTATACAATCACATACTAATGTACTAGTCGTAATTGTCGTCATCATCATCGTCGTCGTCGTCGTCGTCGTCGTCGTCGTCGTCGCTAACGATGTAGATGCTTTGAAATGTTTAAGACATATGTTGTGTGCTTGTCAATAGTATAAAAGTCGATACAGTTATCTGGTACCAATGATTTTACACCTTCTTGGGCATAGTGAACTCTTAATCTGTTTCTTAATGTTATAAGATCGTGTTTTCTGGTTATACGGCTGTCGTGTGAGTAGTATATATATATATATATATATATATATATATATATATATATATATTATTGATTGCGCATGCGCAGCGCATGTCTCACAGCGTGAACCCCTAAACGAGCGCCTCCCGTGCGCATGCGTGGATTTCCTTGGCGCCACAATCCGCTGCGTCCGGCCGAACTTTCCGGATGCGGATGTCAAACAACGGTTCCCTAGCTAGCTGTTTGACATGGACATTCTTCCTTCACATGTCTAGGAATTTTTACGAGCCTGCCTTATTGTACTACCTATACTGCATGCAGTGTCACCGGTTATTCGTATGGAGGAGGCTCAGTGTACATATTCTCTATCGTTTAGTTGTAGTCGGCTGTAATAATACGTCCATGCGAATATAGAGTTATATATTATTGATGATACCTGCGCGCAAATAAACATGGACAGACTAATTTACTCCATTGCTCCCTACCCCGCCGTTATCCTCCTCTCTCCTTGTCACCTTTTCTCTCTCCCTCTGTCCCTCGCTAGCGGTCCCCGTCTCTCTCATTTACCCATTTTCACGTACAAGCACGCACATTCTCCACTCCCCTCCTTCAGCCATTTCCCGCGTGTAGTCAATGACATAACTAATACTGTAATGCGTGAAATGTATTGATTCTGTAGTTAGCGCTTGAGGGAATTGTTGATAAATTAGAATGGAAAAAGCGGTCTAGTCATTAAGCTTTACTTCCACATGAGGGCTATGTTCTTTATTCCAACTTTAAGGCACCATAGCCTGGCGTTATTGTAACTGTCCCCTTGAGATTGTGCGGGAAAATTATATAATAAACCTCATAAATGTAAATAAGCATAAAATATTTAGAACCAATCATAGAACGAATTATCAGTAAAGCGTCCTATCATACACGTGGTTCCTTTTTTGCAATGCCCAAAACTGTATTCTCTCGACGTAAATCAGTTGAGTTACTGCATCCCCTATGGATCTGTTTAGGCCACTGACCTGAACTTGCATTCTAATCTAGATTTATGTTGAAATTTTAATTATGGATTTTAATTAAGACGAATGAATGTTTGTTCAAAACCACGTGAATAAAGAAATAGTTGCCTTAGAATTTGCTCTTGCTTTGCTTATTGTTATGATTAGACATGATCACAATTTTCTCGATTAAAGCTCGCGGAATGCATGAAATATGTAACTTCTCATTGTTCACCACGCGCCAATTCAGCCTCGGCGATTAATCCCTTAGAAGTCAACTGTCAGTCGAAAATCTTGTGCAAACGACCGCTGATGCTCTGGAAAGCAAAACGGAAATAAACGCTGAAGTTCTCAAATCACACCATGAACATAATTATAGACATAAACTCGCACGCTTACACACGCATGCACGGACACAAACGTACATACACGTGCGCACATCGACGCATGCGCATATTGTAGCGCACATGTGGAGTACGTAGTCTCATAAGGCACGATTCACGACCGTCATCTTACAGAGCCGTCTTTACAGAGTCAGTACCGTCAGTACAGAGCCGTACTAAACTCCAATTGACTAGATAGATGGACAAAGTCACGCGCGATGTGTGTTCTGAGCTGTTGATTACGGGCCGCTGGCGCATCCACGACCGGAGGGAAACTGACCCATAGCTGTGCCCCTCCGCCCTGCATATATAATTTCATCAACATTTTACTTTATGAAAATTTGTGTGTAATGAGTAAAGACGCAAGGAATAGTTAGATGTGAAGAAAGGCTGATCTCAATGTCTTAATCATCAATTATTATATAGCAGCAAACCCACTTAAAACGTGCGATAGACTGAGACTATTATTATTATATTATTATATATTATTATTAAGCAATTGTGATAACTGATTGCTTCCTTTATTTAATAAGAAGGCCGATTAAAATTAAGTTTATAAGTTGTTTCTTTTATTGGGCAGCTCTGGTATCGCGCGCATATATGTTGCTAAACGAAATATAGACATATTTAATTTTAGTAAAGTTATACACATGTAGAGAGCAAATACTCAGGAATATTTTTATGTGAAACATTTTGATATAAATATCTTAGTTAATTAATTATAATACGGCATGTCATCCAATGCTCGTTCAAATGCCCAAGAGATTATAGCTCGATCACAAAATTCACTTCGTCTTAAAATTTGACAAAATTAGAAAAAGCATGCCTCTGATATTTTTAGCGCGTATAAGTTTGGCCGCAAAACATACCAACGCGACCGCCATGCCTATATCTACATTTGAATAGGAAAAGATTATGGCGGGATGCTGCGGCTAAAGTGAAAATTTTAGGTCGGATTTACCATGCACATCTCTCGCAGGCATGCCCCTGCCTATTTTGAACGCTTAAGATCGGCTGATGATATTTATATTGAATCACAACGGCGACGAGCGCCGCGAGCGTCATCTCTATGTACAGTAACATTGGGAAATAACTGTGACAGAATGCTACGGCCTAACTGAAAATTTTAGATTGAATTTTACCTTGCACATCTCTCGAGGGCATGCCCCTGCCAAATTAGAATGCCTAATGTCAGCCGAAGATATTTATATTGAATTACAACGGCGACGAGCGTCGCGAGCGCCATGTCTATATGTACGATAGCATAAGGAAAAACTGTGACAGAATGCTACGGCCAAAGTGAAAATTTTAGAATCTTCAAAATCTAGGTGGCAGCTGCCGCTTGCTCCCCGCCCCTCAGAAGCTACGGCCCTGATAAATTACCAATTCCCATAAAATTTCGTTATACTATAGTTTGAGACCTGTGTTCGCATATGCCCGGTATCTGTAAAATAAGATGTATTTTATTTAAATTATACATTTATTTTATAAATTAAAGCAGAGATTATATGCTTACATAAGTAGCCTGACGTGAGTAACAAATTCGGAATCTCTACTTGTTAATTAGAAGGTGCTCGGTTTCCCCGGGTGACATAACGCTAATAAAATCGAAATCAGCCAACAGGTGGCGATATATGTTACTAACGGGGCTATAGGCCTATGTCAATCTAGCCTTCATAAAACGAAATACTATTTTGTTTAAATTATACATTTAATTTAGAGAGCATAAATCAAGAAGTAGTTAGCGATATATCTCCGACCCTTTAATAAACTTCAAATATGCCAGTAATTAATCAACATGACAAGACAGCTCTCGATGTTAACATAGATGTTAACGATGTGGCCAAAAGACTAAAAGCACTAGATGCAAACAAATCACCAGGTCCAGATAACATTCATCCTCTCTCTCATCCTAAAGGAGCTAGCAGAGATGATTGCCCCAGTGGTCACAGTAATATTTAAGAAATCACTTAAGATATCGGGCGAAGTCCTTCATATGTGGCATATGGCACACGTGACGCCAATATTTAAGAAAGGGAGAGCCTGGTGAGCCTGACCTGCATTCTATGCAAACTTTTGGAAGGGATGATCGCCGAAGTCATCATTAATCATATGACTGCAGAGAACTTACTCGCAGCGGAGCAATACGGGTTCAGAAAAAGCCGATCATGCAGCTCTCAGATGATGGTTGTTCTGGAAGAATGGACTGACTCATTGGAGAAGAAAGAGCCCATAGATATTGTATACTTTGACTTTCAGAAAGCGTTTGACAAGGTGCCACACGAACTCCTAACCAGTAAGTTAGAATCCCTGGGGATCAGAGGTAACACACTTTGCTGGATTAAAAAATACCTTAGCAACAGAGAACAAAGAGTGGTGATAAATGGTGAGGTTTCCACACCAATTACAGTAACAAGTGGCGTGCCTCAAGGCAGTGTACTCGGCCCAGCACTATTTATTTTATTCATAAATGACCTTCCAGTTGGTATACACAACAAAATCCGCCTATTCGCTGACGACACAAAACTATATGGCAAAGCTAGTAGCGTAGAAGCGTGTCAAAACATTCAAGAAGATGTGGATAGGTTAGAAAAATGGGCACGTACATGGCAGATGAAATTCCATCCTAAAAAATGTAAAGTACTCAGACTAGGAACAGGTCACGCTGACTATAGCTATAAAATGAGAGGGGAAGCCAACACAGTGTCGGTTTTGGAATTTGTTGAGCAACAGCAGGATCTTGGTATTATCACGGACAAACGCCTCTCCTTCGAAGACCATATAAACACGAAAGTGTGCGCAGCAAAGGGCATAGTCGGCATAATCATGCGCACCTTTCATTACATGTCAAAAGATATATTTAGATTACTGTTCAAATCCATGGTAAGACCCATAATTGAATACGGTAACACGGTATGGGCCCCATTATCAGACGAGATCGGTTTCACTAAGAAAATATCGAGAGCGTACAACGAAATGCCACCAAACAAGTACCCGGGTTAACAAATCTGCCGTATGATGAAAGGCTACGCCTGTTAAAATTACCATCACTTTTATACAGAAGAAGACGGGTGACATGATCGAGGTCTAGAAGCGATTACATGAAAAATACGACGACCAATACCCGTGGCTAAAACTAGATAGCAACACACAATGTCTCAGATACAATAGCCTTAAACTGTATAAACGGCAAGTAGATCATACACTCAAAAAGAAATCATTTAGCTTTAGAACCGTCAGCGATTGGAATTCCCTGCCCGAAGAAATTGTCATATCCAAAAACGATAAATAAATTCAAAAACAAAATTGACAGGCACTGGTCCCACCTGCAATATGACTACCTTAACTAGTCACATAGTAATGATGTAATTATCTGATCACATGATGTAATGTATACAATAGGGAATATATATGTATACAATGGGAATTTACCTTCCAACGTATACTCATAATACCTAGGCTACAATACCACGACCAATACCCACTTTAGAATTATTTAACATCGCGAGGGACTATGAACAAAATTGAGGTTTGATGTATTAATTAGACCGGATACAGGCCCTTGGGCCTATTCCTGTAAACCGCTATTCTATTCTATTCTAAACGCTTTTTTACAAATATAATTAATGTGGACATTCCAGCGAAGATCGCTACTAATAATGACACCCAAATATTTGTAAGTGCATGGGGGTTAGAGATACATATTTATGGTACAGCAGTAAGTAAAAGTCAATGGTTATTATATGCGGGTAATGTGAAGAATTTTACGTTTTTAGTTATTATTTATTTTTTATTCACGTCAGGCCAATAGCTAAATGGAAACTTTTTTAAGTGCAATCCGCATTACTGATAAAACTATTTGATTAACCTTGGTCTCTCGCGTTCTTCCGCGAGCTGGACTGTACTCAATATTTATATGAGGTTATAGCTTAATACGAGCAATTTTTGTTGTGTAGTGGCTGCGAGATACTGGAGTTATGCTCACACTTACATTGTGACATCATATGCGTCTTTGTTCTCTCCAACTCGTAGAACGAAAATTGCGTTGCCATGCACCGGTTTGTTGCTGACAATGCGCTCAACATGGATCGCGTCTGCATCAAGATTCCGTAATGGGTGAAGTGTGAGGCATCTCCGTAAAGATGCCTTTTCTTACTCTAACGCTTTCGGAGAGCCATAGGCAGCGCATGCTACTGTGTATGGTGATCTTCAGTTGCGTATCAGTGTTCACCAGCCTGGGCCTTCTGATCGTTGGTGCACACATTAAACTACAGGTGCAGGAATACGTGAACATCGTCGATAAAGATGAGGGAAATGCGATTTGCATTGTTCTTATTGCAACTGGATTACTTTCGATGGCAAACTGCATCTTCGGTGCTAAAATCTTGACAGACTGTCGTGAGATAGAACTTCGTGGACGGAGAAAGAAGTTTCTATTACCTTACATTGCCTCGTCTCTTACGCTATGTATCCTCACCTTGATCGCTGGTATCATGTGTTTCGCGCACGTGAACAGTCTTCACTTGTCGTTCAGAAACGGGCTCACGGATGCTATGCAAAGGTATAAGAGTAACCTCATGCTAAAGGCAGAAATTGACCGTCTTCAAATCACATACAGTTGTTGCGGCAATAAAGGATATGAAGATTGGTTTGCCATTTCGTGGGTGAATGAAAACAGCATCAACCTAGAATCGAAGGTAACTTAATTAGTACGAATAGTTATTATAAATGTTTTAAATCAAAGCCAAATATAAGCTATGTGTTTTACAACGGTTAGGCCTAGTGTTTAGTATATATTTTCCTTTATTGCAGAAACATATATGAATATATATATATATAAACAAAGTCAAGGTATAGAATAAGAGTTTTTAAAGTTTAATTGACAAGCTTTCGAGATTACATCTATTCATCAGGTCAGCAGACATTGGAATAGAATCAAATTATCAAAAACAAATACAATGGGTTATAGATAATCAAAAATGAATTATTCACACAATTCGCGCGTTGCTATGAATACGGACGACAAAAGAACACGCAATATTATTCTAACACAACACAAAACCAACGCAGAACACACACAACACACAAGCACCCACAGTGACACACACACACAACAACCCACACACAACCACACACACACACACACACACACACACACACCCACACACACAACATACACACACCACACACACACACACACACACACACACACAACAACACACACACACAAAGCAATAAAACTCTCTTGCATCACCTGTGTACTAATAATCAGGGTTTAATCGCTTTACGGTATTTTTTAGACAAGCGGTCTGATAATTTTCCGAATACTGATACCCTGATACGTTTAGCCGAACTAGTTTTAACCAAAACGTGTTTTACTTTAAATAGGAATTTTTATTCTCAATGTAATGGCGTCGCTATTGGTACGAACATGGGCTTTAGCTATGCCTATCTATTTGTCGGCTACATTGAATCAAAAATGTTCGCGTCCTTCACTAGACTAAAACCGAGCCTTTATCTTCGGTATATTGATGATGTTTTTGGAGCCGCATCTATAAAACTTTCTGATTTGCAAAATTTCATCGACCATGTCACATCTTTCCACCCGTGTCTAAATTATACATACTCTACATCATCGGATAGTCTTCCTTTTCTGGACATGGTTTCTATTATCTCTGGTAGAAATTTAGTTACCTCGGTGTTTTCTAAACCCACTGACACCCATTCTTATCTATTGTATTCTTCGTCTCACCTTCGCCACACTAAAAATAGCCTCCCGCATTCTCAATTGTTACGATTAAAAAAGATATGCAGATCAAAAACTGATTTTAACACAAACGCTTCCAATATGATTGAATGTTTTACACGCTGTGGCTATACTAATATAATCAATCTGATCTATCTAAGAAATTTAAAAAGATACTTCCCTTAAATCGGGCGTCGTTAATAACCCCTAGAAAAGACGGCGTGAATAAAACGTCAGACAGATGTCCATTGGTTTTAACCTATCACCCTTCAATCCTGCAGATCAAAAGATTGTTAATTGATAATTATAAAATTCTTCAAAACGATCCAATCACAGTTAACATCTTTTCAAACCCACCTTTATGCTCGTACAGACGTGATACCAACCTCCGCGACACTCTTATTTCAAGCACCGTTTACAACTCTGACAACCCCGTGAGCCAACCTGACTTATACCCGTGTTGTCGGAAACGTTGCAGTACTTGCAATTTTATCACGAATAAGTCTGGTTCAAGGGCCTCGGGGCAAATTTATAGCGCGGGATTCATTTACACGCGTGTCGACGAACCTTATTTACGCCATTGAATGCCAAATTTACTATCTTGGCGAAACAAAACGCCGCCTTGCGGATAGGTTTGTTGAGCATTTAAGATCTATTCGCCTCAATTTGCATGGTTTTCCGGTTGCTGACCATTTTAACCAACCGGATCACCACATTGATGACGGGCGTGTTTGCGGCTGCCAACTGAGACCATATTACAATAGCTCACGTCGACACATGACTGAGCAGAAATTAATTCTGAGGGTTGGTTGTTTGAATCCAGGGGGCATGAACGTAAACTTTAATTACGTGTGATTTTTGGACTCCTTGCTTCTTATGGTGTGTGTGTGGTGTGTGATGTGGGTGATGTGGTTGCCCTGGAAATGTGCTGTGTTATGTGGACATGTGTGGTGTGCGTGTTGTGTGTGGTGTGTTGTGTGATTGCCCTGTGTGCCCCGAGCGTCGATGTGTGTGGGTGTGTGTTGTGTATGGTGCGGTGTGTGTAGTGTGCCCCCCCCCTCCTGTGGTGTGTTGTGCACGCCCTGGTGGTGTGTGTGTTTGTGTGTGTTGTGTGTGCTTTGTGTTGTGTGTGTTCTGAGCTTTTTTGTGTGGTGTTATATATGTGTGTTCTTTTGTCGTCCCGTATTTTCATGGCAACGCCGCGATTGTGTGAATCATTCAATTTGTGATCTATAACGCATTGTATTTGTTTTTGATTATTTGATTCGTATTCTAATGTCTGCTGACCTGATGAAGAGCATGTTAATCTTGGAAAGCTTGTCAATTAAACTTAAACACCCTTATTCTATACCTCTAACTATAATATATATATATATATATAATATATATATATATATCACGAACACCCATGTCAGATAAAAAAAAACAATTAAAAATAATAGGTTAAGGGTGTTTAAGTTTTAACTGACGCGAGCTTTCGGGATGTACATCTTCTCAGTCGGCACATTCAGCAAACATTTCGCTCCAATGCCTGCTAAATTGCCTGATGAAGAGATATGCATCTCGAAAGCTCGCGGTATTAAAACATAAACACCCTTAACCAATTATTTGAATTTGTTTTACACATGAATATATATATACATATATATATATATAAGTAATACATATGTATATATATATATATAGAAGTAAAGTCACACACAAACACCCGTGTAGATAAAAACAAAGTCAAGGTACACCCTTATTCTATACCTTGACTTTGTTTTTATGTATATATATATACACTTAAATATATTTTATATATAAAGCGTAACCACAATAAATGTAAGTGCAGGTATTGGTTGTAGGGAGTTGAAGCGTACATGGGTACGGGAGAATTCCTACAGGATAACGTTCCGTTCAGCTGCTGCGACCCGAAGTCGCATCGACCATGCATTCACCACAACGTGCAGGTAACACTAGCTCAAGAACATTATAATGGAGAGGACAATACACATAATAAAATATATAAATGTAAAATATATAATATCGCAACGCAGTCTAATTTCGTCATAGATCATGCATTCTGTCGTGGAATTTAGATCGCTAATAGATACAATTAACTTTGCATTTCGCACATTCGGCATTTAACGAATTTTATTTGTACGTTATCTAAAATTGTGGATGGTAGAATATTGCAGAATTGCTGAATTTAAACCATTAAGATTGGATTTATCAGTAAATAAACCATTCCCGTGCATCCACGTGTACAGCAATGCGATTGCATACTCACTGCGTATACGACCATACCACAAACATTATTATACGTGTTTTACTTAGGATAACCACAAGCACTACAACTACGACTACGCCGCAAAGACCACGCTGTACACTGTCGGCTGCAAGAATGCACTGATGATGTATTTTGGCGACGTTCTGCTCGTGAACGCGGGCCGCGCCGTCTGCTCGATATTCGCCTCCATGTTGTGCGGCGTCGTCGGCCTGCGCTTCCTGCAGACGTCAATAGAGGAGGCTCTCCTGACGGGCGACGCCGCGGCAACTGCCCCCGGATATATCATCAAGGCGTCGGCAAAAGGCGCAGCTGGTGACGGCGACCGTGAACCGTCGCTCGAGGCAGGGCGTATCAGCGATGACGATGGCGACATGTACGAGTCGGATTTCGCGGATGCCGAAGAGAGCGATCGAGAAGACCGTCGTCTTCTCGAGATCGCAAACGAGCCGATCTACGCCAATGTTAACGAGGTGGAGCTTCAATAGTTCGAAGACGTGTGTTATTAGGGCGAGGGCGCCTCATGATAGAAGAATAGTGCGTCGTTGGTATAATCATGTGTATAAATAGCTGCTGTGAGCAGCGAGAATTCCTCTCCGCATTACATCATTCATGTCGTCATGAATGAACTACGCGCAAACTAAATGCGCCTGATAGAGCTCCTCGTTAAAAAAATAAAAATAAATGTGCATTCCTTTCCGTGATCAGAAACGCTGAGCTATATAACGTACACGCGTCATACCTGCTAGACATCTACTGACTTCGCGCTCATGTAATAAAATATATTATGCATACCATATGTTATTTAAAAAAATATACCCACTTTAATAAAACAACGAATTTTGAACATTTTGAAATGGGAACGTTCTATTCAATTGTGTTATTTTAGCAGGTATCGCGCCGATTAGAGATTTTCTCTAGTAGAAGCGATGAATTTCTTGCATAGAACCAGCATGTGGTGACATCTACCGACAAAAAACCGTATCACATCGCTACTCTGTGGTAGCGTCTGTAAATCGAATGGATCAGCCCCCTGTTTCTACCGAGTTGTTGCTACCCTGTTGCTACCGAGAGCGATGGTCGCCTAGGTCTCAGAGAAACAGAAAATTGTAGCGATTCGTTATACACTGTGGCAATATATAACTGCATGTGGCGTAGAACTGTGGCATTTCATTAAACTCGTTGCTCTGTAATTTGCGATAAGGCGCAGTGCTTCCATGCGTTACATTTACAAAAGTAATGTCACTCCTGATGCACCTCTGACATGTTTTAGCAACATCGATGACGCAACTACTTTTCTCTCATCTTTGTAGAATGTCGATAATATGGGTGGATATCCGGCACTTCCGATACATAGCCTCATGCAAGAGTAAATAATACAGATTCTCTATTATTCACTCCTGATAGCGTGTATCCTACATATCTTCAGCGACTGAAAATAAACAATGCATGCATGTTGACTAGAAACTAGAAAAATTCATTAGACGAAAATGATGAGTCATCGTCGCATATTGCTATACGATTGTTGTCTATTACACAATCGTTCTAGAATTAAAACTATATACAGATGATTGAATAATTTCATTGGAGCTCTATAGTTCACATGCTAATAAAGTTTATCTCAGTTAGATCCAAACGTTAAGTTATTTTTGACTTAATTTGGATCTAACTGAGATAAACTTTATTAGCGATTAAAACTATTCAGACAAACTTTGTGCGATTAGCCGCATGCCCTGATATACGCAGACACGTGTTCCGATAACGCGCGTTGATTGGAGCAGCCACTGCGTTGGCGGGCCGTCTGTTACTTATGTCAACAATTGTCGCAGACGAGAGAGGCATAAAGCAAACAACAACACGGGAAATGGGGCGCCAAAGTTTTTCCCGATCATGTTATGTTGTCAGTCGCCCACTGCGACGGACGACAGCATGCGATGTCTATAGAAGCGTATAGTGATAGAATCAACAGCGCTGATACGCTGCTAATACTCCCCCGCTAAGATGTTACATATACGCTATATCTTTACCAGGCGACCTTTTTGCAGGAAGGATATCGCGACATGAGACTTTCTAGATCGCTTCTTCGCGAAATCGATAAGGTCTTTGGCATGTGCGCGCGGAGATTTTTGCTTCGATGAAGCGCCCTCAGAGACGCGCATTATATCGCAGATGGATATGAAAATTTGAAATCCGAATCCTATATCCCCACCATATAATATGGGGGTCGTTCTACGTTCGCACTTAGTTCGATTCGTTTGTGAGAGCAACGCACGTTAATTGCTGACACACGATGACAATATATGTCGTTTGCTCGTGACATTAATCACACAGCGCGTGAGTCATTAGTGCCGTACGTGCTGCGAGCAGGAACCATCGTTTGTCGGTAATGAAAATTTAAATATAATAAAATACTCATCGGTTAATGAAAATTTAAATGCAATTTGGAACCGGAACTAAACCTGAGAAATTACAATGGCAAAATTCCGCGGTAAATTTTCCTTTGTGATGCGAAAAATAAATAGAAGCGCCGTTAGGTGTTGCCACACGTTCTTCGTAGTTTGCTATGCGCTACACCGACGTGCCTAACAACGTCGCCATTGTGCCGACAGCATTTCTGTACACGTCACGAGCTATGTATTTCAATATGCGCGCAGCAATAAACGGCCTTTATGCAAGTACATGATCATTCTTAACGAGGAACATTCGATTCAAATCCGATTACGACATATATCGCCCTCGGGGTGAGGGGGATATTGCATAACGCCCAACTCTCAAACCCAAGCAAATACTCCGACGACCGCATTCTCCCCTCTCCATTCTTCTAGTACAGTCGCCGCGCCGGCCAATCAGTACCAATCTGGGCATAACGCTCCGCCCACTCAACCGCACGTGACCTGTCAATAGACGGAAGCACCGAGGCTTTACTGCTCCATATTTAGCAGATAGCAACGCCTTATGCAACCGCATATGGGACCTATCCGCGACGTCTACCGTTCATTCACGAAAAGCGAGCGAGTGCATGTGAGTAGTGAAGGCGCTACGCGGATACTCGCGCGTGTGATCTCAAATGAACAGCTAGTGCAAACAAGCCCGCGCACAGCAGCAGCAGCAGCAGCACGAACGCCCACACATTTCTACGCGCATTCAGTCTTTACCGACCGCGGGGGAGTGAGTACATACCACTCACATACTCACACACGCACACGAACAGGCAGGCACACGTTGGGACGGTATGGACGCAGGTGTGTGCGTGCACGCAGCCGGCGACAACGAGGTATTCGACGAGGATCGCGATCAGATCGTCCCCGATGTCACCGCAAAGCTAACCGCTGTCAAGCGAGAGGACCAGCAGAACACGTGTCGCTTCTCCAACGCAACACAGGTAAGCAAGCGCCTGCACGGCCGCTGCCGGCTCCCGCCGAGGCTCGATGAAACACCACATCATATATGGGTGTACGTATAGCTACAAATCAAAGCAGATAGATGATGTGACATTGAGATATCAATTGCGGTTGGGGGATGGGGCAACGCCGTTTGTGTGGGGGTGGGGGAATCTAGCTAGAATTATGTCTGTATTTTTCTCTTTAATAACAAAGAAAACGTTTTGTACTGCAGAGAACTATTGGTAGATTGATGACTGTTTCACTATTGCGTGTATGTTTGTATTTTTACCTTGTGTGCCCCTCTACAACCAAACGCGCCTACAACAAACACGACTGCCAATGCATGCTCGCCCGGACTACGCGCGCCCACGTACACGCACCCACATACACAACCACACACGCGCGCGTGCGCAACCGCACGCGCACATACGCACACACACACACACACACACACACACACACACACACACACACACACACACACACACACACACACACACACACACACACACACACAAACAAACAAACACAGAGAAAGAGGAAAGAGTGAGGAAGACGCAAACACACACACAAGCACACGCCCATGAGCACACACCCACGCACGGTCCGTATATGACTCATAACTCGCCTCGCCGGCAAACTCTACCCGTGTGCCGTGTTTACCCGCCTGGAGGTGGGACAGCTCGGCTCCTAGGCCGAGATGACTGTCCTAGAGATCGGGCAGTTCGACTCACCGGCTAACTCATGTGAGATTGAAAATTGAGATTGATCATGTGTGACAAAATTACACTCTACGCATAATAAAAGGTTATTCCCACAAAAATGCCACACACTTATATTTATATACAGTACATCAACCATCTTAACAAACCATGCAGAAATTATCCCCTACTGTACCTTGCAATTATTACACTCATATCAAGTAAATTTTATTATTTAGCTCAACACTATTGCATCCTTCAGATTTGTTCTCTGCGTAAAAGACCGCTTTCAGTACATGTATTTGTATGTGAATTATATGCAATGAAGATTTAATAATGAATAATAATAAAAATAGACGTTTTGACGTCGGAATGTGTAAACCATCTTAAATGAGTTAGCCCGTCAGTCCAGCTGACCGACCTCCAGGCGGGTAAACTCGTCATAGACTCATAATGCGAGTCGAGTTGGCGGGTGGGTCGAGTTGACCAGTGCCCCCACGCACACATCCCCACGCTTATGCGCGCACTCCTACGCGCACACCCATACGCCCATGCGCACACACCCACGCACACATCCACACGCTCATGCGCGCACTCCTACGCACTCACCCATACGCCCATGCGCACAAACCATAGAAATGATATAGATATATATATATAGTTATCTATATTATTTCAGGAGTTAATAAAGACAAATTTATTTGTCTTTATTAACTCCTGATTATTTCTATGGCACAAACCCACGCACACATCTATACGCTCATGCGCGCATACACGCGCGCACACACACACACACGCATGCGCATGCGCATGCGCATGCGCATGCGCACACGCACATTCATGCACACACGCACACACATACACGCAAACGCGCGCACACACGCGCACGTCGCACATGCGCATGCGCACCCGTACACAATACATCTCGCTTATTATAATTTATAGCACTCTGCGGACATATAATAATAACGATTATTTCTTCGGGATATAACTGAAATTTATTCACTTTAGTGTATTATTTCTTATTTATTAATGTCCGTGTGCGTTGACCTCCGTGTCATTATTTAATCACAGATGTACTATAGATATATAATACACATATTATAGATGTAAAAGAAGAAAGCATTGCTTATTATTAATATTGTTATTATAGTATTAATTGTATCGTTGTTATCAATTGCACGGCAAGCCCCGCTGTGCGGGGCGTGTGGCATTTTCATTAAGCATTATCCTTGGATTTCTCGCTTCCCGCCACCTGCGTTATTGCTGACTCACTTATAGTACTTCCACGCGAACGGATGAACGGATGGACGGATGGGTGGACGGATGGATGGATGGTTGGCTAGTTGGTTGGATGGTTGGATAGATGGATGGATGGATGGATGGATGGATGGATGGATGGATGGACGGATGGCTGGATGGCTGGATGGATGGATGGACGGATGGCTGGATGGCTGGATGGCTGGACGGACGGACGGATGGCTGGATGGATGGATGGATGGATGGATGGATGGACGGAT